TCATCTCGAGTCGGAGCGCAGTGCGCTGAAGAGGAGAGAGTGGGAGAGGAGGAACCAAGAGGTGCAGCAAGATGAAGACCTGTTCTCAACTGGATTCAACCTGTTTGGAGAACCCTACAAAGTAAGAGAACAGACCACAAGCAGCCAAATGATCCGTTTTATATATGTTTTAGGAAATATAAGTTAGAGAATAGTTCATTTTTATGTCTTTTTTTCCCTTTTTGATAACAAATGCAATAACATGCTATCTTGCAGGGATATTTTTTTCTCTGAGGGAGCATTTCCAACATTTAAAGCGATACTTATTTTTTCATATTTTTAAATTGTTTTCTTGAGCCAGTATGTGCTAAAATGACCCTTTACAGGATTAATGAAGGGTCACCCAGCCCCTATCGCCCCCTGTGGCCAGAATTTTCCACTTGCAACTTCAGAGTAGCCAGTCTAGTCATGACCTGACATACCTGGTGCTGCAGTCTGGTCCCAGCACATTTCAAACGTCTTTTGGACCTTGAATCCAGCTCATTTGTTTAATTTAGTGATGAATCACTCCTGTAGACACTAAGGAATGCTGGGGAGATGTTTCAGCTGTTAGATGAAGGTGTTAAAAAGACAAATGTACAGCTTTCGGTTTTACAAACGGACACTAATCTGCCTAGTGTCCCTTTAAAGGTGGAATTTGTAAGAAATGTAATAATTCTACAGAGATATAATCCCAAAATAGTCACTGAAACATTTTCATTGTCTGCTGGCTGGGGGAGTTTTCAGTTTTTCTCTTTTCAAAATAAACAAAGGCTATTTACCATCGGTGACTGTGAGGTTGCCGTGCCTCCTGCAAGCTAACGCTGCAGAACTGGCATTTGTAGTAAGTCAGCGGCAGGCAAAAAGCTCCAGAGTTGTGAACTCCAGAGAACTGAAGCCATAAACAGGAGCAGAGGTTATTTCTTGTACCCCTAAGTCATGACAAACAACCACACTTTGTCCAGTGCTGGAGCCATACTACCGTTATAACAGTAATAGGTGCTCCCCACCATAAAACACCCAAGAGTACTTGAGGCAGGCAGAGGGAGACTTGGGGTCTTAGCACACCTCTGTTGTTGCTAGGCTTCCCGGGGCTGGAGGCTAGGAGGGAGATCTGGCCGTCTGGTTGGGGTCTGGGGTGGTGGGTCGCTTTGCTCGGCGTTGGGCGGGGGAGCCTGCTCATCAGCACCCCAGCAGAAAGGGTCAAACTCAGAGAACTGCTGATGGTTGTACTCCATGTGCAGCAGTACCGGGACCAGAATGAATAGGGTGTGTATGGGGAGCATGAGTGGGTGTCCGGCGTGCATTTTTGTAAGTCTTGGGTTGTATGTGTGAGCATGAGGGAGGGAGTGTGTGACTGTGTCTGTGTATGACTGTATATGTCAGGTGGGGCCTTTGACTCCTCCCCTCTTGTGGGACTTCTATACATCTTCATCTCCCCTCCCCCTGCAACACCTGTTGTGGAGTGCGGTGCCTTTGTCTGCCTGAGTGTTCGTGGCTCTCAGGTCAGGGGGTTTAATATTTTTGGCATCTGCCTGATCAATCCCGGTGGCTGCCTGGTGGGATCTGGGTCCCTGGGCTCTGCTGGGTCCCCGGCGGGGGTGGTTGCCCCAGGGTCCCGGGTCACTGGGTTCTGGGCTCGGCCGGCTAGGGGGTGGGAGGCTGCGGGTGGGCCTGTGGGCTTGCCGCTGATATCCCCCGGGAATCTGCCGGCTGCTGGTTGTGGCTCCCTGGGGTAATCCTCTGCGCCTCTCGAGGGGGGCAGGGGCTTTTCTGGTCGCAGTTTCCCTAGGGTTCCTGCACTCTGGGGCAGCTCCTGGATGTCTGGGACTTGGAGCTCCCTTCATCTCCTACACATCTTTGGGGGGCAGATCTGTGACCCCTCACACTCTCTATTGGACGCTCCTATAGAGAAACCTTACATAAACAAGCCCGTGTACACACACAGGTGCTCACATGGTGCTCTCATAAGTATGGACTTGGGGACGTTCAACACAGGTCTTAAGGCTGTGGTTGGCACTAAATGCACTGTAATTTATTATCGTGTGATTGTTCAGTAAAACAATGTTGATTTTATATTTCTCATCAAGTTGATGCAGTGATAGTTTGCTCCTGTTGTATTGTTGTGTGTCCCTTTTCTGCAGGTCTAGAAGCAGACCCCTGTTCATCATTGGTTGTTTATTTTTGTGGACCCCCTTTTGTCTCTTCCTTTCTCTTTCACCTCTGTCTCTGTGTCTGGTCGGAATTACAAGCATTCAAAAAGCAATAACAATTCAGTTTTAAGTATCAGGTGTATGATTTAGTAAACTGAGGGCTTTAAGAGCTCAAAATATTATCTCTACTTATGACCAATAAGCTGTGATACTCTATATACACTCAACAAAAATATAAATGCAACACCTTTGTTTCTGCTCCGATTTTTCATGACATGGACTTAAAGATCTAAAATTCATTCCAGATACACAATATTACCATTTCTCTCAAACATTGTTCACAAATCAGTCTAAATGTGTGATGGTGAGCACTTCTGCTTTGCTGAGATAATCCATCCCACCTCTCAGGTGTGCCACATCAAGATGCTGATCTGACATCATGAGTAGTGCACAGGGGTACCTTAGACTGCCCACAATAAAAGGCCACCCTGGGATGTGCAGTTTTTTGCTTTATTGGGGGTCTGGGGACTCAGAACCGGTCAGTATCTGGTGTGACCACCATTTGCCTCATGCAGTGCAACACATCTTCTTCACATAGAGTTTATCAGATTGTCAATTGTGGCCTGTGGAATATTGGTCCACTCCTGTTCAATGGCTGTGCGAAGTTGTTGGATATTAGAGGGAACTGGTACACACTGTCGTATACGCCGGTCAAGCACATCCCAAACATGCTCAATGGGTGACATTTCCGGTGAGTATGCTGGCCATGAGAGAACTGGGACATTTTCAGCTTCCAAGAATTGTGTACATATCCTTGCAACATGGGGCCGTGCATTATCTTGCTGAAACATGAGGTGATGTTCATGGATGTACGGCACAACAATGGGCCTCAGGATCTCATCACGGTATCTCTGTGCATTCAAAATACCATCAATAAAATGCACCTGTGCACTTCGTCCATAACAGATGCCGGCCCATACCATAACCCCACCACCACCATGGGCCACTCGATCCACAACACTGATATCAGCAAAGCGCTCACCCACACGGAGCCACACACGCTGTCTGCCATCTGCCCTGAACAATGTAAACCGAGATTCATCCGTGAAGAGAACACCTCTCCAACGTGCCAGACGCCATCGAATGTGAGAATTTGCCCACTCAAGTCTGTTACGGCGACAAGCTGGAGTCAGGTCAAGACCCCGATGAGGACGACGAGCATGCAGTTGAGCTTCCCTGAGACGGTTTCTGACAGTTTGTGCAGAAATTGTTTGGTTATGCAACCCAATTGTTTCAGCAGCTGTCTGAGTGGCTGGTCTCAGACGATCTTGGAGGTGAACCTGCTGGATGTGGAGGTCCTGGGCTGGTGTGGTTACACATCATCTGCGGTTGTGAGGCCGGTTGGATGTACTGCCATATCCTCTGAAACGCCTTTGGAGACGGCTTATGGTGGAGAAATGAACATTCAATGCATGAGCAACAGATCTGGTTGACATTCCTGCTTTCAGCATGCCAATTGCACACTCCCTCAATGCTTGTGGCATCTGTGGCATTTTGTTGTGAGACTAAACTGCACATTCCAGGGTGGCCTTTTATTGTGGGCAGTATAAGGTACACCTGTGCACTACTCATGATGTTGGATCAGCTTCTTGATGTGGCACACCTGTGAGGTTAGATGGATTATCTCAGCAAAGCAGAAGTGTTCACTATCACATATTTAGACTGATTTGTGAACAATGTTTGAGAGAAATGGTAATATTGTGTATCTGGAATGAATTTTAGATCTTTAAGTCCATCTCATGAAAAATCGGAGCAGAAACAAAGGTGTAAATATAGAATATCAACCTACTTGGTCTTTGTGTTTAATCAGAAGATTCTAGGATTCTTTGTTTTATTCAGGGATTTGAAACACTTTGTTTTGATTCAAGGAAAGAGTCAGGTTTGTAAAAGTAAGAATTTATTTCCCAAACAATTAAAACATGAAAAGTTAACTAATATTTACTGTGATGGATGGATCTAGATGGAGGAGATGTGGCGTATGGTGCCTATGTGTGAATGCTAAGTTATCAGAACTTCCGTGTCTAGGAGAGCTGAGTTCTGGGTGTAAAAGAATTTGGTTTGCGTTAAGCTATGAAGATGATTCTTATCAGAAAGCATCAGACGCAATCACACTGCGTTCTACCTCACCCTTCTCGGAGACCCTCTTTACGGATCCGGAGGTCATCGAGGTCGGATGACCTCTGGGCACCCAGGTCCAGTAGATTGACCACAGTGCCGACTTTGCCAGTCCAAAGATGTCACCAGGCACACAGGTTGGATGGAATCGTTTGTGTCTAGACTCTTAAGGAGTCGGAACAAAATCAGCTTTATTCTGCAGAAACCGTTTGCTGTGTCAGAGGCTGCTTCTTCATTAAAGAGACTTCGCTACGGACGGCCGTTTCTGTAGCAACCTCTAGAACTCTGTAGAACTGGAACACTGACTGATGAGAGCTGGGACTCGAACTGCTGAATCACCAGAGTGATTCTGTTTTAATGTTCTCATGTTATGATTTGTGTGGCCAATCGGAGATTGACATGTTGAGGAATATTACCAAAACAACCTCAGAAAACACGCCTTCTCAGATACTGGATGCTCTGATCTGGGGTAATGGACTGTCTATGTGTCACACGTTTGACTTAACTGTACTTTGTCCTTGTGTGAGTGTAGATGGTGATGGCCTTGCCACATCAACACTACTGATCCATATGTAAATCAATGTAATAATAACATAACATTCATTTCAACTTCAGTCATTCAAGCACAGATTGATGAAAGCATATCATTTATATTATAATTATTATAAGTGGCAATAAACAATGTTTATTGAATGATTATTTAACTTATAAAGCCTGATTTATGCTTCTCCGTCTGCGTCAGTGCGGAGACACGCAACGCCATTATCCGACCTTG